TGCTGCAGAGGTGCTGTGGTACAGGGTGTGGAACACAAATGCAAATATGCAGTAAACCAGGTTCAGGGCCGACAGTGCCCCAGCAACAACATAACCCACGGTTGAAGGTGGGATCACGTGGCCCCGCGAGGAATCAGGCTCCCTCCTCTCTGGTTTTGGGGTGTGTCACCCAAGATCCACCGCTGCCAAGTCACTGCAGCTTGGCAACTCCTGTGTTGAGCGGCTGCCCGCGGGTGGTCAGTGCGCATCATAGCGACTGGTCAGACAGTAGGAGGGACACTTAGCATATTGGCCTTTTATACATAGATTGTCTGAGCCCTCCCTCAGCCCTCACCCCTGCTCCAACCACAGATGACAGGAACAGGGGCAGATGTATGACTTAAACAAAGCCATCAAATGCCCCATCCTGGGAATCTGAGCTTGGAAATGGACAGCAGTGGACAACACCCTAGTGACCAATCCTGTCTCCTGTAAGCCTGAGAGCCTTAGAGGAGCCATGGTTTGCCCAGTGGCCAGTGGAGCAATGAAATCCGTCTGCAGGAACAAACAAGGACACACACCAAGAAGAATGCTCCCGTCTGTGTGCCAGGCGCTATCTATCCGAGGCTGGCTACTCCCCTGACCCCGTATCCTTTTACAGAATATTCTTCTGGGAGCGTTGACACTTGTAACTAAGAGAACCCTGATTAAGATAGCAGCTGGCCAGTCAGGTCCCTCCACAGGGTCTACACCTGTTCCAGTACAGCCCTTTGAAGCTGCTTCCTGATAATAGTCTGCTTATTGAGATAAGACCCTGAAATATGGTTCGTGGGGCTTCTTTCTTCCCTCACTTGCCGGCCTTGAGGGGAGCAGAGGCCCGAGTGGTGTGAAACTTCAAGTCTGTGCCATCACAGATCAGAGAGAGCCTCTTGCCCTAACCGGGCACAGGCATTGACAGATTGCTGAGTGCAAAGGACACATAGAAAAGAAAACAGCTGATAACCAGACTCCTTTCCTTCCAACCTAGACTCTTGGAAATCCAAAGACAAAAGAGAAAGCCCTGAGGGGAAGGGAGCATAGAGGTCATGCTGTAATAAAGACCAAAAAGTAACGATGGAGACAAAGTGAAGGTCACCAGGACTGGGAGAGGGGACGGGCATGGTGGGGTCCATGACCTTGGGGACTCTGTGGCTAGAGGTAAGAAGATGAGAGCTGGTGCGGGGGATGGGGATTATTCTCAGAGAGGAAAGTCTGTGTTGAGAGGCATCTGAGCCCCTCGGGAGCCAATGGAGCGCCTGCAGACCATCCAGCCCTTCAAGGGAGCAGCTCTGGTGCCCAGGCTGGTCCACCAATCACTGGGCAGCCAGATGTTCTGTCCACAGCAGCCTGCACATCCCCTGGCTCATCCCGCAGCCAATGCTACAAGACTTTGCTAAGTCCCTGTCAGAATGAACCCACATGGCCCCTCTCTTATCAACTACCCTGGATGCTCTAATGTCCCTAAAACAGAAAACTGGGCCTTAGCCCTGGAGCGAAGCCATGGTGGTGTGTGAGCAAATGTCCTGGCCCCTGGGCTGGGTGGTACAGTCACTGGGGAGCCCCACCCACACTCCCATGCCCACCCCCAGTACACACAGTTCAACGGGTTCTAATGACTGGACTTAGAGACCATTTATGGTACATCTCCAGGGAAGATCACAAAGGAAGGACATTGAAGGTTGTGGGTACTGAAGAAAAGAATGACATGAAGTTGACTGGCCATTTTTCTGTTTGTGCAGAATGTACAAAATCATCATTTGGAATCTAATTTATATGTCTTGGGATTTGGGGACCTGAAGATATTCCACCAAATCTCATGGACAAGCTGTAAAACACCCGTTAAGTTGATAATTGTCTTAAAGGAATCACTCTGAATAAAATGACTTTTAAAATATCCACTTACTAAATCATCCCACAGTTTATTGGCTGTTACGAGGGAAAGTGTTAACAGGGTATATGACCTCCAAAATGAAATGCACATTTTTCTAATTAAGAAGCAGTATCATTTAGCAATTTTTTCAAAGATGATGTTTGTTAATAAAATTGGCATACTTCACTGATATTTTCAGTATTTTTAATGAACTAAATTTGAAACCATAGAGAAAAATCAACAAGATACTCAACATACCCAGGGGTTTCAAAAGATTTTATTTGCCTAGTAAGTAAGGCTTAAGTAATTACCCAATCTACTAAATGTTCCCAATACTGTTACAACATATCAAAGAGGCCATTAGTAATGAACACAGCCCAAATGAAATAGAATTAGAATAGTGTTATAATTCTCTTCTGCCCCAAACTTTTAACTTTCCAAAAGAGAAATTCAAACATTAAAGAAAAATGCTTGGATTACAAACCCATCTTCTTTTCCAAACCCTGATTCAGTAATTGGGTTTAACTTGGTTTTGTC